AGCAACCCGGCCCCCAGCTCAAAAAGGTTGCCTACCCCTGTACTAGAGGGACAGATGTAATAAGAGATGTTATAGACATCTTTATGTTCATTTAATAGGATCTTAACATATTTTACCCTGTGCTTGGCATATTAATTTTCTTTCTTTTTAAATTTTGTCAATTTGTAATACTGCATTTATAATTCATTCATAATTTCATGTTTGTTTCCTACTTCAGTTGTTGTTGGTTGTTATTGTAATTCTGTGCTTTCATTGTTATGTAAAAATGTACCTGCAAGTATGTAAAATTAATAAGTATCTACCTTTCAGTGGTCATCCTTCTTGACAATAGTTCTTGAAACCCTGGTGGTAGGTCTTTCTTGATAGTAACACACCAGTTATGCAATGCCTTTTGATTATCAGTCTATCTGTTCACACATTCTTATATTCCAGGCACCAGCTAAAAGCATACCTAGTTGTACAAACTTTCAGGGAATAATGCAAGAGTTTAATTTGCCTTCTGTTAATCACTAAACAGAAAGAAGGAAATGCATTGTTGAAAAGGGGACAAAAGAAGATATAGACTTAAATATGACTGTATGTTAATATATATATAAATATATCATTAGGTGGACATTTAGAAATAATTACTACAATTTATATAGAATTACAATACATCTTACCATAAAGAGGAATACAGTGATCAAGCAAACTCCTCAGTTTTGCAGTGGAGATACAAACTGGATGCCAATATTTATTTCATAAATTGGAGTTTTACTGCTGTTATTATGTTAAATGTTTTACGCTACTGTTTCAGTTAATTGTATTTATTTTAATTGTATCATTTTATTTGTATACTGTTTCAGTTAACTGCATTTTATTGTTTCTACTATTGTATCTTATAAACTGCCTTAGGGGCCTTTGCTTCAAACTGCATTATAAATAGTTTCCATATATATATATATATATATATATATATATATATATATATATTAAAAAAATACCCAACAACAACCCTGTTAATGATTCTTTGATTTAAAAAAGATGGGGAAATGAATAGAAAAAAAAATGGCTTCAGATAGAAGACTGTCATGCCTTGTTGTTGTTGTTGTTGTTGTTGTATGCCTTCAAGTCACTTCCAACTTATGGAGACCCTAAGGATTGTGGGATTTTCTTGGCAGAATTTGTTCAGAGGGGCAATTTGTTTGTCATTGCATTTCTCTGAGGCTGAGAGCATGTGACTTCCCCAAGGTCACCCAATGGGTTTCTGTGGCTGAGCTGGGATTTGAACCCTGGCCTCCAGAATTGGCATTTACCACTCAAACCACTATGCCACTTTGGTTCAAGAACTCTTTAAATAAAGAACTCTTTTGTAAAACAGGATACATGTCCACCCTACAGTAGGGGATCCTGACTCTCGGATGCCTGGAGTGGCTAGACTGGCTCCATCCTTGTTGCTCTTCCTTCTGCAGCAAAGAAATCCCAGCGTGCTTTGGGGAACCTTTTAAGCAAGAACTTTTAATAGTGTTCAGCACTGCCCCTGAGCTGATTTTCATCTTCTCAGATATGAAAAAGGAGGTGATTCACCATAGTGAATTGCATACTTCATATAGACAAGTAACATCACAATATTTTTGTTGTGTTGTATTTGTTTGTTATGAATGTGATGTTGTTATTAGTATAAAGTAAAAAAAAGCTTTTTGTCTTTTGCATTTTTCATGGACATTTTAAATTGTTTTAAATGTTATAGATAGTTCAGTTGCATTTTAATGATGATCATTATACATTTTTATCTATATTGTGCTTGTTTTTGTAAACCACTTTTAAGTCCCAACCTGAAAAAAGGAGGATATTAACTATACAAGTGATAATGCTTTGGATGCTGATCTGTGTAGATCTTGGAGTTTGTTTTGGTAGGGTTTTACAGTTCCCAGAATCCCCAACAATCACCACCATGATGGCTGGTAGAATATGGGCATTATAGTCAAAAAGGGCCATTGCAAGTTCTGAATGTTTGTGAACAAATGAAGGAGAAACTGCCAAATACATCCCCCCAACATTGTTATTAGAAAAAGATTTTGAAGCAAGTTAAAAAAGGGGTTACAGAAGAGAGAGTCGTCATTGATAATTTCTACCACATCTCTCTAGGTCTGACTGGTTTTAAGAGGCAGATTAAAAGCTTTCTGTTTGCCTTGGGGTTTCTGATGGAATTATGCTATTTTTGTGGACCCTACAAAAATCCAGCAGCAGGAGGAGGAGGAGAAGGATAAAAATTCACATAATTTGTTGTACACTCTTTTGTGATGTATTTTCCCATGACCATAGTTTAATGCGAGGTAAATCAAGGACCTCCTAGTGCTTCTTCTGTAATGAACCTATTTTTTCCTGTGAAATAAACTAGCTGAAATGTTGGCAAGCCACAAAGAGGCATGAACATAGCAAAAGTTGTGTGTGTGAATAATTGTTTGTAGTGTAAATTCTACTATCTAAAATGCAGGGGGAGCAGTTTCATTTTTGAAATGTTGCTACTATGAGTAATTATTGCAATGGAGATCCTTCTGTTGGTGGTGGTAAGATTTCCAGTAGTTAAAGCTGGAAATCTAGTTCTTGCCACAAAATAAACTGAGGCCTCATTACACATTAAGCTTTACTGTATAATTAGATACCACCAGCCAGATATTATCTGCTGCGTAATACTGCAAAAATTATATATGGCTAAAATAAATAACTTTTCTGAGAAAAGGAGAAAAGTTTTAAGGTATTTCAAATACATAATGCAAAAATGTTGGCTGAAACCCAGCTGTTAGTCCCACCTAAAGTCAACCCACTTAATCAATGGGAACTTGGTAAATCAACAGTTACACATATTCCTTGGATTCAGTGGATTTACTTTACTGGGGAGTAGCAATTGGCTTTGGTTCACTAAATAAATAGACCTTACACAAGTGTTGAGCTTCCAAGTTTCCACTGATTCAATACTTTTCCCTGGTTAGCACTAACACCTTGATTTAGGTCACACAGAACCTTTTCACTTTCACAAATGTTACATGCAAAACTAGAGAGAAGTATGGAAAAAAACAAGATCCTGCTCTGAGGGTGAACTGGAACTGAGAAGATACTTTTGTGCAAGAAAGAGAATAATCTGCATAAACTCAGGAGCAAGGCAGGGGAACATGCAACCTTGTACCACATATTACTGGAATAATCCCTATCCATTGGCCATCCTGTTGGGGTTGATCTGGGTTGAGTTCACTAACATTTGGAGAGTTGTAGGTTCCCTATCCCTTTGAATGAGTGGCAGGAAATAAGCCATACTGGATACAATTTTCCAGCAATTAGATATTAGTTTTTATTTGCCATATTGAATGACCCACATGTTGCTTGATCAAATGCAGGATCTATAGGGCCATCTCAGCCCAGGAGAGTGAAAAACAACTATAAGAATTTTGAAAACCCCACTTCTCATCCACAGACAATAACAAAAACCCTTGGATCTGTTTCTCTTCCTCCCTTCTTTACCAGTACACTGTTTTTAGCTTACTGATTTCCACATGGATATCAGCTTTTTTGGGTGTGGGTGGTACCTTTCTGGCTATTGTGTAATCAACATAATCAGTTTATGGATATATTGGCGGAGTTCCAGAAATGTAATGATTTCATATACGGTGACATATTCTTGGAGGGTGTGTGACTATTTGTACAACTTTCTCCATTGGAATTGCAGAGATAGCCATTGTGCATTATTACTGTGAAATGGGAGCATAAGCAGGAATATTGACAAATACATAATAATAATAATAATAATAATAATAATAATAATAATAATAATTTATATCCCGCCCCTCTGCAGAGCAATCGGGGTGGCTTACAACATTAACATTTACATAAAGCTATCTTAATACAATGTAAAAATCCAGAAACCCATCCACCCCTTAAAAGGTAAGGGCTCTTCTTCTTAGTGTAGGCCCGATGGTGCTGGGCCTAGTGTCTCTCCCCCAGATGACACTGGATGGTAAAGGAGAATCACTTTCAGCATGTGGGTATTCTGCTTTTCAACAGAAAGATGGAGTAGCATAGCCACTGTGTTAGCTATGTGAGTGTAGATTTACACAGGGCAAGTACAATGCAAGATCTTTACCACTAAGTCTTATCCTTTTGATATGGTTCTCGGAGAATGAATTTCAGACTCAAACTGAGCTAAGAGTCAACAATCAACCACTTGTGAATTAGGTCATTCCCTTGAGCCAACATATCTCATGTAAACTGGGCTCAGATAAGGGTCTTTGAATGCCCCCTCCAAAGCATCCAGTGACAATTTTCTTTTATTGGTTTGATTCAGTCCAGTTCATACACTCTGCCTAGATGTTAACTTCTGCAATCACATATAATCTGTATGGGGCATAGCTCCACTATCTCCAGCTTCTGCAGATGCTTAATTGAATTTGAACTTAAGCATGAAGTTTGCATGAAAATAAGGATAATGTTCGGGGGGGGGGGTGATGGAGAAAGTGGCAGAGAGACAGAAATTCTTTTAATGCCAGCTTCATTAACTGCTAGGCTGCTGAAATGAGGGTCACTTTGCCCCAGACTGAAGCAACTGCAGCTCTCTAATTGCATTTTATTTAAATTATTGCTTTATTTCAAACATGCTATGCTTGTTTGCAATTTAACATGGCCAGAAGCACAAATTAATTATACCTGACAGCTTACTGGGGAGAAGTTATGGGAATCAATGTTTATGCTGTTTCTGTAATAATGCATACCTTCAGTTTATACATTTAGATCACATCCCTCCAAATCATGCATAAATGTTTACAGCATCTATGTTCCCATGCAAATTGGATTACTCTTGGCATATTCATCACAGAGACTCACTACTGCTTCTCTTCAATATTCAACTATTTATTTTCCTTCTTTTGAACAGTAAGTGAGCTAGATGGAAAGAAAAAAATTAAGGTGGTTCACAATGACATACTTTAAATTGAAAGGATAGACAGATATTTTCTGTTTGTTTCTTTAAAAAAGTCTGTGACAGAGATTATATGTGCTATTCTATATACCATGATATTCTTTTGTCTATAGTGTAAATAGGTTCTCTGTTCAATGCCATATGTTAGGAGGTAAGGTTTGAGTCCTATTAATGCTATGGCACACTATTGGTACACACACCAATAGTGGTATTAATGCTATGGCACACTATTGTACACACACATTGGACTGCTGCCCATGTGCTTTGCCTTAAAAGACCATTTATATATATGTTTATATTTTGTTGTTGTTGTATGGCATCCCTATCAATGAGTGACTTCCAGGAACCCTGGTAGTCATCAGCTCTGCTCAGATCTTGCAAACTCAAGGCTGTGCCTTCTTTTCTGAATCAGTCTATATCAGTTAATAATGTGCTCTTACAGTTTTCCTATTGTCTTCCAATTAACCTAGGGTTATCATCCTTTTCAATGACAGATGTCATCTCATGATCCACCCAAAGTATGGTAACCTCCCTTGAGTAATTTAGGCTTCTAGTGAGAATTCAAGAATTCAAGCATCTGAAGAATTCTCCTCCAGTACCATATTTCATATGAGTTGATTCTCTTCCTGTCACCTTTTTTTCACTGTCCAGCTTTTCTGGCAATAGATAAGTAACAGGAATACTGTGAGATAGATTATTCTAACTTTGCTATTCTTTACTCTTGAGGACCTTATCTAGTTCCTTCATAGCTGCCCTTCCATGTCCTAGTTTGCATCTGATTTCTTGACCACAGTCTTCATTTTGATTTACAAGATATAGAAAATCTTTAAAAATTTCAATGTCTTCATTATTCACTTTAAAATTATGTGACTGCTACATGGTTACTATTTTTGTTTTCTTCCCATTCAGCTGTAACCCTGCTTTCACAATTTCTTCCTTAATTTTCTTAACATATTTCTCCAAGTAATATGATGTCATCTGCATATTTTGTTGATGTTCCTTCCCCCAGTTTTCATACCTCCTCCATCTAAGTGTAATTCCACTTTTCACATGATATGTTCTGTCTATTTAAATTAATTCTGGACTCTAAAAAATATCTAGCATACTACCATTGATAGTTTAAAAAAAACAAAAAACCAGAAAGAAATGGATTCCCAGCAGTACTCATTACTGCAGTTCAGCAGTTTTCTGAATCCAATTCAGTTTAGAATCAACTAGAATCCAGAAATGTCTTAAATGATCTGATAGAGCTTTGATGTGCACATGGGGCTCCCTAATCATTGTAATAGGAAAAATTGCTTCACTGGACATGGTGGGACTTGCTTCAGGTAATCTGAGCCAACCTCTGTGCAGCAAAGCACAACT